ATCTATCTATCTATCTATCTATCTATCTATCTATCTATCTATTTTATACGGCTGTTCTACTATCCCATGAAACTCGAGGCAGTGACCAAAAAGAAAAAGAAAACATCAACAATCATAAACTACAAAAAACCCAAGTTCTATAGAGTAGGCATCATGACAGAGAAGACAAGGGGACACAAAGTATGCCTACTCTGCCAAATATGGTGAGATGGGCAGAAACCATCAGGGAGAGATGGTCCTGCAAGTAACCTGACCCTATGCCATGCACAGCTTTAAAAGTGAACACCAGCACCTTGAATTGAACCTGAAAGTCTATTGGGAGCCAGTGCAGTTCACATAGCAGTGGTGGTATGTGGGCATACTGTGGTGCACCCAATACTGCATGTGTCACTGCATTCCGGACCAGCTGAAGCTTCCAAATGCTTTCAAGGCCAGCCCATGTACAGCACATTGTAGTAATCCAATCAGGAGGTAACTAAGGCATGAGTGACCATGAGCAGTGCCTTGTCATCTGGGAATTGGCACAACAGAAATACAATTTGTGAAAAGACCTTCCTGGCCATCATTGCCACCTGCTCCTCAACCAGGAGCCACAAGTCCAGGAGGATCTCCAGACTGCACACCACTGTGTGTGTATGTATATATGTATACAGTTTACAACAATAAAAACTAACACAAAATTAAAAAATAAAAGAATACAAAGCAAAAATAGGTGCAGAAAAGGAAAGAGAAAAAATAGAAAAGAAAGAAAAAATAAGAAAATAGTAAAGAAAAAAAAAGAAATATATAGAGAAGTGACTTCCCCCTTCATCACAAGTATAAACAATTTCAGTAACTTATCACCTTCTCTTAAAATACAACAAATGATCTCTCCTTCTCATATCCCATCTCTTATCTATAAACAAATCCATAAAATCTCATCATTCCAGTCCTGATGTCAGCAAAAGTCCATTAAGGGTTACCAGAGATAACAACATATCTGTGATGGAATGGACTTATGAAGGCCATGCTGAGGAAGATAAGTGTGTTCTTAGCCCCCAATAGGAGT